AGTTGGTTTCCCATTCACCAACTGAAGCAGCACACCCAACAACACACCCAACAAGGCAGCACTCTGCAACACAACAAACCTGGCAGTGTCTGTCTGCTGTGTGTCCACACACCCTACACCCCTACCAGCCCATCCTGAGAGGTCTCCTGGCCCAGAGTGCTATGGCGAGGACAGGGTATGGCGAGGACAGGGTATGGCGAGGACAGGGTATGGCTCAGAAGCAGAGGTGTGGAGCCTACTAGGAAGAGTCCAGCACAGAACTGGTTAGAGGTAGGGCAGGGCAATGATGCCAAGTCCATGGAGAAGTGGCATCAGACGCAGGGAAAGTACAGAATTGAACTGAGAAGAGCAAATTGCACTGCCTCTCATTGGGTGTTGAGAAACCCCCATTGAAAAGACGGTTCCAGATAAGGATGAGCCAGGAGGGCTCTCCAAGGCTCCCAGTATACAACACCTCCCTCCCTCTGGCCTTTTCATTCTCCTCTATCCAGGCCCCCCTTCAGTGGGGACTCCCCTTCAGGAGCACTGGCAGCTTCTGCTGAGTCCAACTCAATGTACATCTCCCAGAGTGCTTCTTGTTCAAGCTGGCCTAGGCGACAAAAAGCCATCTCTTCTGCTGGACAAAGGCCTCCCTGCCTTCTTCCACCACCTCAAGGTCTTGTTTGCTATTTCAGACCCGTGATATTCTGCTACTTACTACAGATCTTATTTTAAACACTCATCATCTGGCAACTTCCTAGCCAACGCCACAAGGGCTGGGGTTAGTTTGGTTTGCTTCTCCTCCATGACAGGTACTCAGAGACATGGCTGTGCATTACTGTTGGAGGGAGAGAGGGAAGAGAAGGACTTTGGGGGAAGCCTCAGGACGGCCAAAGCCCAACTCTGCTGGTCTTCCTTGTGTATTTGAGGTTAACATATTTTATTGTAATAGAAAACGTGCTAGCCCTGAAAGGGGAGCCCATTTGCTTGCTAACTGTGGCTGTTTGCTGAATATTAGCTTACCACAAGGTTTGGCTATTTCCAAGGAGAAAGCATGCCAGTTTACCCCTCTCATATTGAGTTCCCCCAAACTCTGCATCAACCATTTCAGACCATCTGCACTGTGCCCTGTCCAACCTCCTGGCACTTGCCAAACAACAGGGGATGGCCACACATCATTTGAGAGTCAAGACTTCACCGCTCAGTTCCAAAATCAATTTCTCACAAGAAACAGCGGCGAGAATTGGATGGGATTGGAAAGACGGTGTTTTGCTGACCAGCACTCCGATTACAGTTTAAATTGAGTCTAGAAACCTGAATGATTCAAACCCTCTGTGCTGTAATGAATACATTCCTGGGCATCCATCTCATTTCTCTCAGCATTCACATGGCAGATATAGCGCTGGAGGAGCCCAGAAATTTGTGGGAGGTATCTCCATTTATCCAGCATACTTTCCCATTCCAAGAGATCTACAGGAAAGTTGAGCAGCTCATGCTTCTCCTCCTCCCTTAACAACAGAAGCATGCCTGAAACATATGGGACATCGATAAAGAAAGGTCCTCGTCCACCGCTCCCTCTAGACTTTCCCTCATCTTTCATTTCTTTAAAAAAAGATCTTCTCATACCAGCCTCCTACTTCAAAAATGACTGTCCGGAGCTGTCTGTTGGGTAACACTCTTCAAGGGCAAGGAACCTTCTGCTGTGTTTTATAACTTGCTTCTAATCCCTTTTGAAAGAAGACTACTGGTGGCAGCAGTGATGGCTTCCTCCAACCACGTCTGTTCCACTTGGCAGAGACAGAAGTCCTTCACAGCATGCTCCTCAGGGAAAACCATCTCCTATTTTCTACTTTGCTAATTGTAAGAAACCACCTAGCCAAGCATTTGTAAACATGCCCTCTCCCCTCCTGACTAATGAAAGATTCAGAATCCCCCTTCAGACAGTGCCGTGAATATAGAAACGGCTCCATGCGGTGAGTTTGCCGAGCCAACTGCTATAAGGCAACCAGCCCGCACTTGGGGTTTTGGCAAGTACTCCGACTTTGACATTCAGTTAATGATTAAAGGATCCTGAAGGAAGGGAACAGTGTAAAAATGTGTTCCCTACAACTCACCTTCAAAATGCTTGCGGGGAAGGAAATCCCACTCCCATACCTCCACATTATAAACATCAACCACCTTTTCTTGTTCCATTGGAAGAGGAGAGAAGAAAATACCTTTTATTTATTTATTTATTTTAAAGAACACCACTGAGAAGCCAATACAGCCATGGATTACAATTTTAGGCTGAAAACAGGTTCCCCCCAGAAAAAGCCTTTTTTTCTGGAAGCTTACAGACCTGCAAATTCATTGTCTTATGCTAAGTACCTGTGAAGTACCAAGGTAACACTTCCAAGCATTCCCCTCCTTCCTTCCCCCACATAGGGCTACTTTTAGGTAACTGTCATTCAATTACGTATGTGTAAATGACTGTCTCAGCCCTGTTCTGATCCATTCAAAGCCTGGGACAATCCAGCCCCAAGATAAAAAGATTAAAAGAAAACCACTGTGCCCAATGGGACTCAGTCTAGAAGATCCCATTAAGCATCTCTGTGAATCGCACTCTGTGATGCTTAATTTCAGTTCTCAAACTGTGGATTTGTGTCTCCAGAGATCATAGGCAGACAAGGGTCTTTGGGTAAATGCGGTATCTTTCATTAGACCAGCTACATAGTTGGAAAAGTTATTCTCTGCAAGCTTTTGGTCACATAATGCCCTTCTTTAGGCACAGGGAGAGTGTGTTGCTCCAGAGGAAACATCCTTGTTAACAGCAGTATATGGAGATGAGAGATAACAGAACTGATTACCTACCCATCAGACCAATTGTCTCTGCAAGTTTGTGTACACACAGCCAAGCCCTTACCTTTCTCTAAAAAAGTGCAAAGTTTCAAGAAGTTAAATGAATAAAGGATATCAGATAACAAGAATGCACTTTTTGTAGAACACAATGATTAAAACCAAGGCTTCCTGACCACCAGTGACTTAAATAATGATTTAAATCAAATCCACTCTGGCTACCTCCCACTTACTGCCAGGTGGGACTTCACAAATAACTGCTCTTCTGCTCTGCTACCACTTCCCAAAACATTTTAAGAAAATATTTTGAGATTATATGAAACACTGGTTTTAATAAAGCCGAAGTCAAATTCTGAAACAAAGCATCTAGAAGAACTCACTTGAAACCACTACAACAAAATATTTGCTTCATTTTTTTTTTATTCCCCCACTGAAACAATTTACCAAACTCAGTACACAATCATGACCTCTCTGGATCAACCTGAATCCACATCTTTTCAGCCAAAAAAACCTGTCTGATGAACATTTTGCCCATCTTTGCTGTCAGGCCCAAATATGGGCTCTCCTACCCACCCATTCACCACAGCTGCAAGTCACCCTGCTTGCAATAACTAACTTAGTTAGGGGCCAATTATTTACCTCATCTCAACAGGTGGTGATGCTGCTGAAGGCAAATCAGGAGAAGCTATGGAAGCCCATATGGCAGAACATATGGCTAAGGGTTATAGGCTAGCAATTGGCAAGAGCAAAAGATTGCCAGGCTAGATAAGCTCCTGGAGGGATTGTACGTCTCTCATTATGAGTACTAAACAGCATTTTCAATGTTCCCATCATGCAATCAATTCCACACATTTCTAGAAAGTGTGAATGCTGCAGAACAGGGCAAGTAGGGCTTTAAATGGTGTCAGCAAAGAGTAGTCTCCTGTTTAAACAAACTCTAGCTCCACTTCTGCTGAACAGGCTGTGACACATACTATGACTGAAATTGTCTTAGCAGCCTATGGACTTTTTACATCCAGGTCCTGGGACAAGACGGGTGGTGGTGTTGAGTGGAAGTCTTTTGCAAGCTCCTGCTCCATGAGATGGCATAGCTTACAGCAACAGAACTCTGCCTTTCCTGCCCCTTGGAAATGCTACTTCCAATAGATATGGCTGCAGACACAGGATTCAGTATGCATGTGGGCTTTCTGAATGCTGGGGCCACCCAAAGAGGCATGCGGTGATGTTTCTGCAATGCTGGTTAAGCTGCTCTGATGAAAACATCTTGTGTATAGGAAGAAACTGACAGGTCTCCAAAACATTATTTGGCATGGTTGATTAGCTAAAACCAAGGCCCCTGGCTGACACTAACTGGTTAATTATGTCATACGTGTAACCACATCTTCAGTTGTAACCTGGCCATATGTTCATGCAACTAATTGCATGATAAAATACTAAAACGCCACAAAGTTATTACATAATGGGCATGTCTACACATGCATTAATGCACCATTGTTACTTCACGTTAAAGTTTAGTACCCGTAATAATGGGTACTAACTCAATGCACGGTAACTGGTGGTACTGTGCAGTAGCGCCGATGGACCACCTTTTAGTGATGCTAATGCACAGTAGACTATTTTACTGTGCATTAGCACAGCTTTTGCCGTGACGTGCTAATGTGCAGTAGAATTAGTCTAGTGCACAGTTAGTGTCTTGTGTAGACACGCCCACAATATGCAATAAAACTTTGTGGTTGGTTCCCCTCATATTCAGTTTAAGGCATGTGGCTAGTGCTGATCAGTGCTCCTGGCCAAGAAAGTAGAGTCTTGAAGGGCTCCCACATGTTCCCAGGGCTTGGAGCACCAGTCAGCTTATCCGTGCTCTAAGCTGAGAGAGCACTCCTGAGCCCTTCAAGACTATGGCGGGACTGGGAATGCAAGTTAGCCAAGTAGAGAGTAGAGCATTTTGCTTCAGCGTGCTCCCATGGCTTGGACCATGGGCTAGGTGATCCCATATCTCCAGTGTGACCAATGTCTCACTTCCATCCAGGTCTTACCCTCAAAAGAATTATGTTGATCCAGAAGTCTGAAAAAAGTGGGACCAGGATAGTTACTAGGTGTGTTCAACTTCTAACGTAGGGGATTCAATCTCTTAGAAACCCAAGCAATAGTACTGTGATGAAAAGTAGTAAGAAAGCAACACTTACACTTGAGCTCATGTGTCTGACCACATCCCGAGGGACCACAGAGCGATCCTCAAGCTTCAGCTGGGGAAAGAAAAAAAAAAGATATATATCAAATTAAATGACCTCAGATAACATTTGGTCAGTTATGATGAGGCGCCAGTTTATTTAGCTACCCATACTTAGCATTATTGGAGTCCTGAGCCTTTTAAAATGTTCCTTTACATGCTCATTAAGTTTCTCAGCACACTGGTAAAATATTGCATCCATTCACTACATTCATTATGTTGCAAATCAGCAGCAAGGCAGAAAGAAGGTTCAGAAGTCCTGACTCCCCTGGGGATATCAGCCACGGAAAAAACACTCAGAGCCTACGTCTGGTATGCTGATAAATGGGGAAATAGGGGCAGAGGTGAAATTCAAATCCACAGAGCACAGGTTCTCTCCATCTTGTCTACAACTGTTCACCCAAATGTTACCCAAGTTCCCCCAAATCTGCCATAAAGCGTCTCAGGCAGGTCTTAGCTAGGGATGCATATTAAGGGAGTGTATTTTCTATTCTACCAAGCACTCACCTCAACACAAGTAAAACACAGAAATCATTAGTTCTGCAGCCAAACAAAGTTAAAAAGCCATAACCTATAATACCTGCTCTGAGAAATTGCTCGCGCCTTCAGACTTGGTCAAGCACGCCCCTGCCAGGTGGCAATAAAGCACCACTAAAAGCAGAGCTGAAAGCGTTAGTCATCTACAGCACGTTTCATAATCCACACTTCACAGTAATGAGGTAGAAATTAGTTGCAGGATGACTGTGGCTGAAAATGGAGCAGCTGTACAGCCATAATGCACTCAGTACCAGTTCATACACAGCCATAGGCATCTGGACTCATTTAAGTGAGGGAAGAGGGGCTGCATGGGGTAGCAGCCTCTGGTGTGCTGTTAGCAGGCAGGTAGTCCCAAATTCTAGTTCCCAGTTCTGTGCAGCCTCAGACACGTCATTTGAGCTTCATTTTGAGACATCCCTGTCTGTTAAGCAGAAGCAAGAGTGACCTACTTTTCAGGGTTGAGGATACATTAATGCCTCTGCCACACTTAAAGAGCACTGAAAACGCGCTAAGTACCATTACTGCCACATTGGAGAAGTGTCCTACAAAGTACAGGAGTGGAGGACAGAATGCATTTCACACCTAACTTCTAAATCAAAGCATCTGAGGCTTCCCCTGCCCTTCCCCATCAATCCCAACCTCAAGTTACCGCTGCTTCATCATCAGCTATGAATCAGCATTTGGTATAAATCCATGCGCCAGAACGAGGCCTATATTACTGATTTTTGTAATCCAAGAACTAGAGCTGGCACCAAACCAAACATCTTGGTATATGTAGTCTTTTTTTTTTTTTTTAAACTAAAACATGTTATCTGCAGAAGAGTAACATGCCAATGATTAACTCTAGGACTGTTCCCAGATGTGCCCGTGTCTGTCTTTGTGGATGCTATGCCCATATGCCACTATCTGAAATGGCTTTACTGCCTCCGTCACCTCTCCCACCTCACAGGCCTAGAGAGAGTTTAAAGTATTTCTGAGGTCGCTGGTAATCATCACAGAATTGGAAGGGACCCTGAAGGTCATCTAATCCAACCCCCTGAAGGCATGCAGGATTTGCTGTATCTAAACTTTCCAGACAGATGGCTATCAAGCCACTCTTTGAAACCTCCAACAAGAAAGAGACAGCAACTTCTCTAGGGCTGTTACAGGTAGAAAGCTTTTCCTCAGATTTAATCTAATATGGCTTGCTATCAGTATAACGTATTATTTTAACATTAAAACTGCCAGCAATTACAGTGTTAACATGCCAATAAATTGTCAAATCTGGGAAATATGCACTGGCTACTTTAAGAATTAGTTTATTCTGAAGCTGAAAAAGTATAATTAAGCTTACATTCCAACATGCATTAGAGTCATTTATTCTTAATGACACTTGGTGGTTAAATTTGCTATGCATCACGTTTTAACGTAGCATCAAGTCATTCTATGTTGTTACATATTATATATTGCACCTGCAGCATCCATAATGGCAACAAGATTATCTTATCCTGAATAAGCCTGGGAGTACTCAAACGTTTCACTATTTATCATAGTCTAGTAACAGCTGGAACTAGTGGTCTCACCCTGCTGCTAGTGATTCACACACGGAGGACATGGCCTGAGCACACCACCTTCCTGGGACTTATCTTCACCACTAACTAAAGAGAGAGTTGGTTTTTATTTTTATTAGATCCTTCTTGAATTAGCTCAGAGTTTTGTCTCTACATGTTGCCATTGCCCTGGTTTCTAAATCTGTTTGCTTTAAAAAAGGTAGCTCCCCTTCTAGAGCAGATAAGACTGACCTGGTCTGGTGACCAAAATGAGCCTGCAAAGCAGTGCTATTGTGTATGCAGGGGTCTAGCACCTGCCAATACTACCGAGAAGTTTTGCTGTCACAATTGGCTACTAAACCCCAGAAGACAACTTCAAGGAACAGTTCATAAACACCTGACATTCAAGTCACTTAAGCTCCTTCACTTATATTGTACCTTGCAAAAGAATGGTACCAATCAAAGTGCTGTCCCTCCATCACAAATTATGGATTTAAAGTACTGAAAAAGCATGATCAAGCCAAAACCTACACCTGATTCATAATTTATCCCTACAAAAAAACACCTTTTTGTATTCAAAAATCACATGCCTGGATAATGGAAGCAAGAAGCTGAAGTCCCAATTCCTTTACTTAGCTATTTCCAAGCCAGGTCCTCATAAAAACCCTCATGCCTTTCCAATGGCAAGGGATGCTTCTCCAACACACAGCAACACATGTATTTAAAATAATCATCCTGCCAGCCCAAGACACTCTACACACATTCCTCCCACTGCCAAAGGAGGAGCAATCAAAAACAGGCAACAGATGTTAGTCATGTTGCTTAATGTATTAAGGGAAAGCCCTTGGAAGCAATGGTGATGAGCCCAGTGTAACAACCTACACACCAGCCCTGGCATGAACCCATTTCTTCCTACTATTCAGATGCCTTGCCCCTGCACAGCACTCAGCCTTGCATCATACCTGGCTCCAAGCACCACAGCCTCACCTCAGCTGGGAAATGCTAGACAACAGCATCTTGGCTAGGTCTATTTTATTTTAAACCAAAATGGAGGAATACAAGTCATTTTGCTCCTTGCTTATGGCAGCAACTTAACAGCTAATACTGCCTAACACAAGCTTTTATTCCAATTTTAAATTGGAGTAGTCTATTGGCACACATGTAACTTCTAAGATGCCTGATGAGTCTATTGCTGATGCTGTTTGTAGCCCTTTCAGGATATGCTAGATTTCAATTCTCATTGTGTGACATTGGGATTGAACACTATGGCTCTCCAAAGCTAATGGAAGATGAACTGTCAGATTCTCTCTCCAAAATACCACCTCTTGCTAGCAGATCAAAAAGGAGAGCAATTTGTTTGCCATGACCTGTGACAGGTAATAAACAAACAGCAAACAGTTCTGAAGCCAAATGGAAAATGTTGCCTTAATACCAGAGAAGCATCCAAGATGGTTATGTGAACAACCAGCCTTTTTATTTTATACAAAACAAAGCATAAAGACAGGTGTACATCCTTCATGTCACGTTTCACAGGACTCTCATCAGCTTAAAACCAAGGGACAACAGTTTTGTTCCCAGTTGAGCATTTCCAAGCTAGTATTTCAGTTCTGCTTGAAAGTGAATCACTCCCGCAGTGGATAAATGTCTTACCATGGACTTCAGTAGGGCTGTGCGAAACAGCACTGTTACGTTTCGCCTTGTTTCAACCGAACAGTGTTTTGTATGGAATTTCATTTTGAGCCGAAACAGCTGGGCTGCCTCCCACCCTGGTGTAGCGCAGAGCCCCGGGAAGCAGCCCAGCTGGGCTGCCTCTGCCCCCATCGCGCTGTACCGTGGGGGATGGGAACTCAGCCCAGCTGGACTGACCTCCCATCCCCAGCCTATGGTCAAAACCTTTTGACTTTTGAAATGCTTTGACCAGCCTCATTTTGTTTTGAGACTATTTCGACCGCTTTTGTTTCATTCCAATTTTGCTGTTTCGACCTTGAAAGTGGTTGAAACAGCGTCAGAACAAGACATGGTGAAATTTTGCACAGCCTTAGACTCCAGCTACCATTTTCCCCATTATGCAAATATAAGTGGTTTCTAGCTATCCAATAAACAGCTTAAAAGGAGATGGTTCAAGCTCCTCCCCGATATACCCCCTTTTTTCCCTTCTGGGGGTGGTGACTGGATAGTTGAGCAGCACTGTGTAGAGGACCACCTTTTGGTCCTGTGGGCCAGAAGAGCGGGGTGGGGCCAGTCCATGGGCCAGATTAAGTCCCACATGCAAGGACTGGTCCCCAGGAACCCAGTGCTGCCCCCCTCCTACCTCCTGTTTGCCAGGATTGGTCCATGGGAGCTTGCAACACCCCCCTCCTGCTCCAGCATGCCAGGACTGGCCCCTGTTAGTGTGTGCTGGAATTTAGCACCTGATCCAGCACATAGGGCCTTGTACACCACCCAGGTCCAGAAATCTGGCCTGCAGGCTGGGTGTTGACCACCTCTGGTCTAGTTCAATAACTTCAAGCAGGAATAAAAGGTGAAAGTTTTTCTGCAAGCAACGGGACAGCCATGGACAGCAAAACAAGCATTCACTAAATCATAAGCAGTCTGCAGTCTGCTCAGAACAGCTTAAGAAGGGCAAGCTAGAGAACAAGTAACGATCTGAAGAACAAATGCATTGTAGGTGAAGTGAACTGATTGGTAACGGAACAGAAGTGACAGATAAGAACATAATTGCCACTTACTGGGTCAGACCACAGGTCCATCATGCCCAGTATCCTGTGTCACACTGTGGCACAGAGTGGGTGCTGAAAGGGGGAGTGAACAGGATATAGCCAGGGTTTTTTCCACTGTTCCTCTTGCTTGCAGCCTCTGGCATTTAAGCATTTGAGATGAGCATCTTGATCATATGCATCATCACCAGGCCTGTCTGCTGACCCCCCAAGTAGGCAATGACTGAACAAGT